ACCTGTTAGGAATAAAATGTAGGTCCTTACCATTCAGACTCTGATTAGGATTCCTAGCTCTATAAATAGGGGATTAGAAAGCAATTAGAACCCTTACCACCCATAGTTATATTACACGAAGATATTCCTGGGAGATTCCCCACCACCCAGCCTAGGGAGATCAATCGGATGGAAGCCTTAGAGAAGAACCTTAATAGCAAATGGAGGATTAATTAAGGCTAAGAGGTATCCCATGTCTCGACAAAACCTATTTTCTTTGCTATATCTTATTCATTGGCTCCTTTGATATATGATTCTGTGTTTGAGTCTTGATAGAGCTTTGCATAGGGTTTATATTGTGTTTATGTGATAATCTTGATGTTATGTGATAATCTTTATGTTTATGTGATAATCTTGATGTTCTTGATACTATGATTGATTATATGAATGATCTTGTATTTTGATTATGGCTAGAGCCCTATGTTTATATCGTGAATTTCGTATTATGATGTTCTTGGTATATTTGGGTGGGATTATGCATGATCGGGTGTTGAGTCCAGCCTAGGACTTGTGTTTAGGACTTTGCATATAGATTTCTTGATGTTCTTGTGATTCCGGATGTTCCTGAATCGTTATATGATTTATGTTGGGTCTTGGTATGTTTAGGAATCGTGTTAGGATGTATTTGGTGTGATTCTTGATTTAATTCCGTTAATTGAATACAAAGACTTGCTTTCATTCTTTCTTTTCTTTGAGTCGCAATGACACACTTCTTTCTTTTCTTAGAGTCGCAATGACTCACTTTCTTTATAAATGGTAGAGGTAGGAACTTCACCATAGTGTGAATGAACCTATCGGGGCACGGCGTCTAGCTAACCTAATACTATGCTCGTCCACCAAACCACTCTCTTGGTTCTATGCTCAAACTCTGTGAAATCAGGTATCGAACTATTAGCGTGCACACCCCTTGACCTGGATTCCAAGCTTGGCGAGCAGTTTCCAACCTCGTAACGTGGAAATACACCGTGTTACATATACTAGGACCGCAATGTCCATAATAATCATCCGAGAGGACATAGTCCAAACGGGGTTCTCCAAAACCTGACCGATATAGATAATATATAAATATATCACTCATGCACCAATCTCATGCATGTCATATCTCAACAACTTCTCAATGCATCAAAATAATGATATACCACATGCTCATGAATTTTGAAAGAAATACTTAGCCTCACGTTGCCCATTTATGCACTTTTAAAACATGCTATACTTGAAATGCAAAAATGCTATACAACGTGCTTCAAATCCATATATATGTATATATAGATCATAAAATTCTCAAGAATACAATATCATGCTCGGTTTACAACATATCAAATCCTATATATTTCCATCAACAAAATATACTCCAAATCTCATTGATCAAACAACACATTCTAGTCATGCTTTTCTAATAAATCTTATTCTCAAGGTGATCATGCTTCTCTACTCAAACATAAATAATCATCAGGGCAACAAAGCAAAGCATTTCTCATTACAGTGAACTTCAAACATGCGTACTGTGAAGCAAATTCATCAATAAATCCATCATAACTTGCTCATTTCTAATCCAAGCAAATTCAACGAAATCAAAGTCAAAATGTGCGTCGAGACAGCCCCAAGGCATCGAGCCACAAAGGCCCGTGACACCTGGCCCGAAACGACACGTAGCTGAGCTACAAGGGCCCGGCCACTGTACAGACAACTCTCAGGGACTAGGGGGCGGGGCTCCTCATGGCCCGCCCTCTAAAGCCGCCACAAAACCGGGCCTAGGCAATGGCCCTCTCCTAGGGCCGTGCCCTAGGCCCGGTTGGCCACGACTCTAGCCAACGGCTCCCTTGATTGGCCGTTACATTTATCTGGTGCACACTGTAATAGATCACTTCCTAGCTCAAACACAACAAAAATCCATCATTTCTACTCATTTCTATTCAAGAATCTAGGCTTCACAGAGCCAAAAATGAAGAGGGTGTCCATGGGGTTATACCTTTGTAGATTCTTCCTTTTTGTTGGGATTTCTCCTTCTTCCCAACTAGCTACACCCTCCTTCACCTCCTAGACATGTCAAACAAACCAAACAACAAGCCTTAAGAGCTAAGTTCTCAGAGATGGAAGCTAGAAATCAAAGAAGCTAGGAGAAGAGTGGATGAATGGAAACTTACTGTGTTTTCTTTGCAAAGTTTGGCTTGGGGAAGACAAGGAAGATAATCAAGAGGCAAATGTCTGATAACATTCCATTTTATAGGGCTTTAAACCCTAGGAGAATCAATAATGATTGGTGGAGGGCAAAAGTGTAATTTCTTTGGCTAAAAGATGAATCGAGAAGTGTTTTGGATGTCTAGTGATCCACCATGCTTCATGGACCAAGGGCTAGAATTGCTATTTAAAATACTTTGGGGTTGAAAAGGAATTTTCTCAAAAAGTTTTCTAGATGAACACTTGTTTAAGGCTTCTCAGAATTCTCCTGGTCTCACTCAGATTGGTTTCTCACTTTAAAACTTGGTACACGGAGTACCCGAACATTTAGGATTTTTGGGATAAAAATAGATTTTGGTGTTGAACTGATTTAAAATATACTCGAAATAATTTATTCAAACACCAATTTATCGCAAAAATTTTTAATGGAGTGAAAATTACTATTTTGAAATTTCTTAAAATTAAATTTTGGGTTATCTTGTTGAGGCTAAACTTGACATAAAGTCAAGCCATCATTGTCTCCAAGCAACCACCCATACCAACTCCCTTTCTCAACTCTCTTTCCTCTTTTATTTATTCATTTTCTCTTTTTTTCCCTTTTTTCTTTTCTCTCTTTTTTCAATTCTTTCCATTTTCTCTTTTCATTTTGTTTCTTTTTCAGTTTTCCCTTTTTTCAATAACATAGACATTTTCCTTTCTTTTCATTTTTCAACTTCATCAAAAAAAATCAAATCACGGTGGATCAAAATCTTCAAAGAACACCGAGGGGACACCATCATAAGCAAGCAACACACGCGCCCTAGGCGGTAGGTCAAACAAACTACGGAAAGTGAATTCTCCATCATTATGCCCAACCCAATTGGCCAATGCAGCCACAGGGAGATTACAATGCGGCATACACTAAAGAATAGAAACAAATGCACAAGAGTAAAGAAAACGAAGGCGGGACACATCAGAGTCCAAAATCCTAAGAATATGGACAGAGGGGTCAACATATCCCTTAAGCTCAGGCAATACTGACTCTAAGACCAAAGATCTAAAACCCTCGGCTAAACACCATTCAAGACAACGAAACAGAACCCGGAAAATATCTCGAAACCCATCAATAACCGGAATGGCCAAGCCATAGCAGAAACCACCACCACCCCCACCCCCGCGGGCTCAGAGTATGATAAATTGACCTTTATAGAACCATCAGGGGGAGGGTCCTACCTAATAGCGTGAACACCATACGCTAAGGCACATTTGAACCCATGTAGGACAGAATGACAGATCAATTAGGTGGCAGAGTGTGCTCCATCGGCCACCACCTAAAGAGACACTCTACCATCCCCTTGGCCTCACCATGTCACCATACACCACTCGAGGCACATTCGGCACTCCCATGACATGTAAACACGCATTTCTATGCTTCCACAACTCCCAGATGAAGAGATAAGGTAACCTGCAGACAACAAAGGCAACAAAACGATTACTTGTAACCACTCGCCTCCACCTAGCCAGCAAAGTCCGCAGAGCATGATGACTGAACTGAAGGCCAAGTGACCCCATAAAAATCCCCCACACAGCCCTGGTTGTGTCCCCTGCATAAAAGATGTGCACAATGGTCTCCCGGCAGCACCAACATCTGGAAACCATAAGGTGCACAAATCAAGTCATAGCGTCATCAGTGGGCAGACGGCCACGTAATACTCGCCAGACCAAAACGAGCACCTTAAAGGGCAGATGCTTGTGCCAACAAGTACTCAAAAGAGGATCAGAATTCACAGGATTAGGTCTTAATAGAGATTTTGTATAAGAGAAAGAAAATAAACCATCCTTAGCTACCCGCCAAATAGAAATGTCAGCCAATTGTTGGCCCAGGCGGGACGTATCTGCCTCCAAACCAGCTGGCAGAAGGTCATCATAGGCAGACAAATCTAGTTCCCCATCCTTAATGAAATCAGATAACAAATCACCAGAGTACTCTACCCCTGGGAAGGGGTAAAGGCGCCCTAGCGGTCCAAGTCTAGACCAATTGTCCCACCAGAGCCTAACATCACCATGAGTCAGGCGCCAACCCAAGACTGCCTCCATCTCATTCCTGACGCTAGACATGCGCTTCCAAGTGTGTGAATTTGAACTTCGCATCAATTTCGCCACCGGGTGAACACGGCTGCAGTACTTAGCTCTCATGAAATTTCCCCACAGAGAATACACCGTGAGAAAATTCCACCATAGCTTCGCACTAGATGCACGTACCATTAGGTCAAGATCAAGGAAACCCACACCACCCTCTTTTTGTAAGAAGGGAAAGCGTTTTCCAAGACGCCCAATTGAAGCGAGCACCCCCCGACTACCTCCAAAAGAAGCTCGCGAAGCACCGCTCAAGATCCCGGATAACCTTCTTAGGAGGAGCACAAGCTGCAAAAAGATGTACTGAATATTTGATTTTTTTTTATTTAAATATTGAGAATTGTACTTGTGTTTAAATAAGGGCTAACTGGGGAATGGGAATTGGGATCGGAGTATACTCCCGGTCTCCTTTGTCATCCCTATTGGCTTTTAGTGTCTTTTAACTACTAATTAGAAAATGTAATCCTCATAAAAAAAAAATAAAAAATAAAAAAGTAAAAAACTTAAAAAAAAAAAATATTAAAAAAAAAGTGAGAGAGAGAGAGAGAGAGAGAGAGAGAGAAGTAATCAACAGTAATAAATGAGAAGAAGTTGAAGATTGATATTCAAGATTAATATGTAGCATATTTTGCACTGTTTTCATCTTAAATCCTAGTGACAGCTCCCTCATCAAACCGCATAAAAATTGATTTACATGTACACCGTACATTACTGCATAGGGAGTAATGGAGAAATACAACGTAACCAAAAAAATCTAAGCAAAAAAGAAAGCTGCCATACTATATACCATCTAAAGTCTCAAAGAATCCCAACACAGTAAGGAAGCCGTAGGGATCATCATCGGATCATTTCATTTTAAGGTTTTAATAAGACATCTACGGAGTCATACAATGAAGTTGTCAGAAATTGGAGAAATGGCTCTGAGAGAATTGCACCATTTGCAGGTGTGTCGTTGTCTGACACGAGCTGTCATCGCCCGCGATCATGGTCCTGATCGAACAAAAACATAATGTTTTTTAAATTTTCGTCCACTTTTTGAATATAATTGTCCAAAAATAGTAGATCAGATAAAATTTAACCAATTTTAAGTCGTGTGATCTTACTCTCGGGGACGAGAAGCCCATAGAGAACTTAGTGCACGTAGCCGGTTGTAGTATTCTCCGATCATCAAGAAACACCGGGCTGCTTGCCGGACGGTCAAGATTCTATGCAACTGATGAAGTGTTTGTTGCCTTAAGTTATCAGCCTACATGCACCAATTAACATTATATTATTTCATATGAATAATGATGTTAGGAACTTAATTTCTTTGACCCAATCAAGCATTAAAAAAATTAAAAAAAAAAAAACATTAAAAAAATTGGCTAGAAATACAAATGGACCCCTGGTGCCTAGAAGCACAGACAAAAACTTCCAACAAATTCTCAAAATTAATTAAAAGCAATACCTACAAACTGATATGTCCCATGTGAGATGTTGGATTGTTCCATTCATTGAATAATGTTTGTGTTGTGCCCACTCTTTAACTTATTTTATTCACAATGATTCAAATTATTTTGCCAAAACATTTGTTAAGAGTGGTGTGTAAGCAATGAAATTGTTCAAACCGTGAGATGTGATGTTTTTAAAATACTTAGTCATTTGTCATATATCACATATTAGATCAGTTTTATATAAAGTTAAACAAATAGCTCGAATTATATATAGATTTTTTTTTGTTGCACACTGCATTGGTATCTACTTTTGTGCGACCAGATTAATGCAATCAAATTTCAGATGAGTTTAATTATGTTAAGGCTTTATATAAAAAGGGAAATAATTAAGCAAGTTTATTCATGGTAGAGGTCATTTTCATCATAGAATAAAGGAAATTAGTAATGGGGGAAGTATTCTTTCAATTCACTTGTTGTCCTCCCCTATCTCCAAGCTAGCTAGTAGGTTAAAAGCTAGCTAGCAGTCTCAAGATGACAAAAATGGAGTCCCTACCATTATATATTTATATATATAAATATATAGATTGCTTTATACTAAAAGCAAAGAGCATTTCCACAAGAGATTACTCAAATTAATATGCAAAAGCCAAAATGACCAATCTTTTCATAATCTGCACTAAAGGCTACCGATAATATAATGAATGAATGAGGATTTTTGGCATCATTCAAGAGATGATGTTAAAGGTTTCAAGTACAACTCTTGTAATAATTGTTTATTAGTTTTGGTTCTGTTTTAAGTTAGAAGCTTATTTTGAAAACATTATCAAACAGAGCTCCCAAAATAAGCTTATAACTTATTAATAGCTTAAAATAAGCTATAAACTCCTAAATAAGTTCTGCCAAACAGAATCTTTGTATAATTTGAACCAATCAGTTATGATCAATTTAGATTTGTCCCTTTAAAGCTAAGGTCATAAGGCAAATTTACCCAGCTCACATACTCGATAGTGGCGGACCCGAAAAAAGATTTTGGCATAAAGATGGTATCGAAGTTTAGTAGAATCTAGTTACCTGACGAACGAAGCCTTCAAGATTGGCGAGCTTGCCGATGGCCATAGCCATATGATGCACGCCGCCATCGGCGGCGGCAGAGCCGACGGCGATGGTTTCCACGAGAGACTGTTGCAGCTGATCGAGGCCCTGGGTAAGAGCCTCCTCCGCCTGCTGCGACGAGTGCTGAAGCCCATAGATCCCCACCACTTGCTGCTCCGTTAAAGGGTCCAGTTTTCCGGTCAACATCTAATAGATCCCATTCAAGAAAACGTTACGTTGTCAGATAATAATCCCATTCAAGAAAACGAAAAGATTCCATTAATGCTTAATAATACCTTGATGAGCTCCGACGGCCTGAACCCGCCCATCCAAAGGAAGCAACGCTCCGCCGGAGTTGTCCACATTCCGGTGATGAGATGAAAAACGTCCGACTTCGCCGCCTCTCCTTTCAGCCGGAAAATCTCGTCGTAATGGCCGATGTATCCGTCGACGACCACCCTGAGCTCACCGTCCGATAAATGCGCCTGCAATGCCGTTCGCAGCTCCGATATGTGCCGGTGATCATCATCTAGCCACCTCGCATACTCCATGTCAAAAATTGCACCACCTGTTCCAAATAATTTCAATAAATAAATAATAGAAATTTTGGCCTTGTACGGCCATGCATTATTACATTAAATGATATATAGTGCATGAAAATGTAGGACTCCAATATATACAATATAAAATATTGCCACTGCCACATATAAGCCGTCATTGTTCAGGTGAGTCCACCCATTTTCATGATTCTGTGTGGACAGATGTAGGGCATTGAATGCTTGAAATCAATGACTTAAATTTCACCAACTGTGCAACTGTTTCATGATGCACTTGGCGAAATCTAATTTATTGATCTCAAGCATTCAATGGTTCAGATTTGTCCACACGGACTCATAGGATAGGGGTGGACTCATTTGATCATGAGTTGCTATATATATATATATATATATATATATATATATATATATATATATATATATATATATATATATATATATATGAATTAAAAAATTTGCAAACACCTAAATGTACTTATCAAACATACAGGACCTAAAGAAGTTGACCAATCAAATTATGTGCATTAAGATAAGAACTGGTGGCAAGAATCTTGATATCAGAACCGTTGGTCATAGGGTATTAGGAGAGGACTCGATCAATACCGTTAGTTATAGGTTTGAACATCTAGTGTGTTGGTGTTTTCTATAGAGGTTGTTGGTTATCCGGTCGAAAATTACTTACTTTTTTTTCACCCGGGAGATATATTTCAAACCACTCATCTGTCATGTACCTAAAGTATGTACTAAGTTGTGTAGAAAACTATACAGTTTGCCTGTTGTCAGAACAATGACAATGAGTGAAAAAGGATGAAGATTGACCGGTTTTACTTAAGTTACTTCACTCCACTCATAAATTGACAGGGAATCTAGTGTCACTGGGAGACTTGACCGATCAAAAGAAAGTGATCAAAGACCTCTTGTGCACTGAGTATACATGTAAGGATGAGAATCTGAGACTGAACTTGCAATTTGCCTCTTCCAGCATCTCTTGGATAAAGGCTATGGCGGCTTAGGATTAATCTAGCAGTTCTTGGATAGAAACTCTAGCGGCTTAGGATTAATCTAACGTAAGTTGAGATACATAATGTATCATAAACAAAAATATATATATATATACCATTTTTTTGGTGCATAGATTTTTTTACTTAATGCAGACTTACCAACATTTTTTTTTACTTAATGCAGACTTACCAGAGCTAGTACCTGCACCAACTGCACCACCTCCTCCCAAGAAAACCCCCTGTTCAACACAATAATAATAATAATAATAATAATAATAATAATAATAATAATAATAATAATAATAATAACCACAACAAAAAATTAAAACCTTAGCATTTATTATTATTAGACAAAATATGTTTGAAGAAGTGTTCAACCTGAGATCTAGCACTATGAAGTTCTTGTTCTAGCTGAGAAAGCCTGATCCTACTGGTTTCCAGTTGTTGTACATAAGCCTGGAAAAAAAAGAAAAAATAAAAATAAATAATCTAAAAGGTAGACAAAAAATGATCATAAAAAACCTCGAAAATATGCAAGAATTAAATATCTCCAAAAAATAAAAAATAAAAAATAAAAAACCTTTTTTCTCAGTCTGCTCTTTCTTGCTGCTTCTCTATTTTGAGCTAAACGTCTCAATGTCTGCAACCCAAAATTTGAAATTCAGTGAAAAATTCAATCTTTAGAAGAATGGAACCCAAAAAAAGGAAAAAAATGATAAATATGGGTTAAAGTCTGTCAGCACCTTAGCATCAAGAACTCTATCTGAGGTTGAACCAGCACCTCTTCTCTGCAAAGAGCCAAAGGCATCCTCAAAAAAGTTAATTTAATTTATCCAAAAAATAAATAAATAAAATGCATAGAATGTGTAGAGTCAACAGTAACATTTAATACCGGTACGACCCAGAGTGGCATGAGATAAAGAAATTCTTTTTTTTCTTTTTGGGTTTTGGACCCAAAAAGCAGAAGGTAACGTGTCAGCAATGTCAGAATCTTTTGTATGGCATCAATTTTTCTTTCTTTAATAACAAAGACTTAAAAGTTTTTTTTTTTTTTTTTCAAACAGACTTAAAGTTTGTAATTAATGTGAATACTAGTATACTACTAGTCTACTACTGTGTTCTTGAAAATAATAACAATGATTAGATGGGCTAATTAATCATTGTTTAGAATATTGGCTTCTCCAATTCCAAGAAAGATTAAAAGGCCAAAAGGACAAGGACTAAACTACAGTTTTAGGGATTGGGGAGAAGACACTGGACAGATTCATAAAAAAAAAATGGGCACTTTTTTTTTAAACAAAGGAAACTTTAAACCTCAGTTTTTATGTTGCTCCATAACTTAAGGTAAAGTAAAGAACAGTAGAAGTGGTGTGTTTTGTTTCTTCTTCTCTCATAGTCCCATGTCAGAATGTGAATCAGAGAATCACTCAAAAAACTCTGTCTCTTGATTCACTTTCAGGTTGGTGCTGGGCATCTGTGATGATGACCACACACAGATATTGCCAAAAACACCCAGCAGGTTGGTTTAACATAAGATAGAATTTTAAGGAATGGGTTGAAGAGACTAAGAACAGTAACCTTGTCATGGGTGGTGGGTTGTTTTGAGGCTGCAGATGTTGTTGTTGCCATTATCTGTGGTTGGTGGTTTTGGGTTGAGGGCAATGAAAGGTGAGATGATGGTCTTGTGCTGATGGGGGAATCTGGGCCCTCAGCTCTCCCTGAATCACCACTCTCTTCTCCTCCTGATCTTGAACTTCCCTGAACAAAAAAAAAAAGGAGTTTTTATATACAAGTCAAAGAGTTTTTAGGTAGGTAGGTAGGGGGGTGAAATGGAAGTACCCTTGGGGTGTGAAGGGGTGATCTAGTAGGCCAAGAAGGGAACATCTCCAGAGTAGCTGCTGCATATAAAGCTGCAAATTAAATCTCTCAGGATCAGCAAACAAAAAAAGGAAAATCCTTTCAACCCATTATTACTTTTTTGATCTGCAGTTATGGAGTAAGTAAATCATGCAAGCAGGTCAGGTTTCCTTGTTTGAATCCCCACGCCACTCCTCTTCTCTACCCAAGAATGATTACTGTGTTGGAAATGGTAAGCCACTGTAGAAATGTTCAAAGTTCAACCCCCCACCCCCCCTCCCACCCCACCCACCTTTCCTCCCTCTCTGAGATAAGGAGTTGTTGTACTTTTTTCAAACGTCAGAAAACAAGAGAAGAGAGAGCCAAGAGACCATACATGCTTTAGCTTCATCATTGTTAACTCCTTGCAGCACAATAGCTTCCTCCAGCTCCCCAAAATCAAAAGCTGCAGGCCCTTCTTTACTGCTAAAAAAAACAAAAAACAAAAAACCATATCAGAAACTCAAAACAAAGAATCTTGCCTTCCAAATTCAAGAAAAGATCCACTCTTGTAACCCCAAGGTCACGTGTTCGAATTCGTGCCTCTCTGGTTTACTTTCTTGTGGTCATTTCTCGACTAGGGTCTTACTCACACTCGAAATGATTGTGGGGTTTCCCTCGTCATCGAACAAAAAATTCAAGAAAGATGGAAACTTTACTTGGATGTGGAATGGTACATGAAGCTTGGGGTGGTGGTGGGATTGTTGAGGCCTCTAAGAAGCTCATAAGGCATGTTGTGGTGGTGCTGTGAAGAAGTTCCTGAAACACCAGTCTCCCCAACTCTCTGACTAGCAGCCATGCAAAACACAGTACACTTTCTGGTTTCAGGCCATTCTTCAAGAAACTGGACATATATACACACAGATCAAGAAAGCAGATAACATACACCACTGTGTCAAAAACAATGATGATAAAGTAAATAGAGCAAAAAAAAAAAAAAAGTTGGAAAGATGGAATCTTCCACATGTATATGTTCACCTCAGTTTTCAATGAAAGAGATTTGAGAGACAGTGAGACCTCAAGGGGGCAAAAGATCAAAAACCTTGTTGACAAAAGGGTGTGTGAAAGAGAAATCAAGAACCAAAGAGGGGTTCAGTCTCTTTCTCAAAACATGTTTCTTCTCCCTATCTTCTTCCTAACTCTGAGTTTGAGCTCTCTCTCTCTCTATCTCAGAGGGTCATTGTCTGCTCTCCACAACAAAACTACACCCTTCTTTTCACCATCTCTCTCTCTCTTTCTCCCCCTCCCCTCTCAGAGTGTTGATTGTTCTGTTTTGGGCTTTGCGAGTAATTATTATTATCAGATTTTGAAACTCAATCCCAGGGTCAGAAAATCTGTCCTTTGCTAACCTGTCTCTGACCCTTTGGTGGGGTTTCAAAATTTGCAGAAATGAAAACATACAAAAAAAATTTGGATAGAATAAATTAAATAAAATTGTGGGGTCTTGGACAGGAACCCACTAGAAATCAGTGACTCCTACTCCACTCTCTCTCTCTGTCTCTCTCTCTCCCTCTTTCTTTCTCTCTCTCTGTAACTGCCAGTGCTTTCCGATTGGATCTTCTCTGCAGCTCTACAGAGTTGCAAGTACTAACACAAGGAAGCAATGTCATAATTTACATATAATGGGAAAATTTTCACAGAGTTTTATTGCATCATGCAGTGCATTATTTTAGAATGTTGCATCTCTCATTGTTAATTGTATTCTTTTCTTGATTTGAGTATTAAATATCAGAAAGCTAGATTTTGATCATAGTTGGATTTCACTTCATAATTTTCTAGTAATGTTAGAGCATCTTCGTTAGTTTGGTTTTTGCATAACATTTTAGAAGGACATGTAGGAGAGAGACGAGGAAAAAAAAAAAAAAAAACGCAACTAAGCGGGCGTGTGCCGCTCGGCGCGGTCTGTGCATGTCACGCATAGCAACCCAACCTATTTTTTTCCTTTTCTCTCTTTTGGTGGATCCCACAAAAAATCATCTTTGTAGGAGATACCCAACCCTTCTCTCTCCGGTCATTATATCGTGCACCGCGGTGCATAATCGATTATGCACCGCGCGTCGAAACGGCGCCATTTCTGCAGTTATAACGGAGTGACACTACAGTGTGTCTAAACTGACACTGTCTCACGTATTATTTTTATATTATCAAATGAAACTGCAGTTATATCAAAATGATACTGTAGTTGTGGTGAAATGAAACTACAGTATATATAAAATGAAACTGAATAACATTTCACATATTTGAGTGTATATTGTACAATGAAGCTGTAATTATATTGAAATGATCATGTAGTTGTGTTTTAATGAAACTATAGTGTATATAAAATAAAATTAAATAACATTTTCACATATTTGAGTGTATAAATATTGAATGAAACTGTAATTATATCGAAACTAAACTGTAATTGTGTTGAACTGAAACTGCAGTGTATACAAAATGAAACTAAAGAACAGAGTTATTTTTTGCGAAGATTCTGTTTCTTTTCATTAAACAAAACGACGTCGTTTTGATGCGCGGTGCATGATCGCATTCTCCCTCCTTCACATAAGTCACAAAATTGTGTAAAAATCACATATGGGAAAGCTCTTATAACAAATGTAGGTTATGTTTGGCAAACCTAGCTGAAAAGCTATAAGCTCGAATCTGAAAACTGAAGAGCTATTAACTAGCTAATTATGCTTAAAAGTGTTTGATAGAATTAGTTTTTTTTTTATAAGCTGATAAATGTAAAAAGACTAAAAATGACATTTTCATAAAATTTAAATGATGTGATTATTATATTGTTTTTATATTATTAAATATATGAGATATATTTAATTTATAAAAAAATAAAGTTTTTATTTTTATTTTTATAATATATATGAGATATATATTAAATTAAAACAAAAGAAAAAAGTTTTTAACTGGTAAGGGTAAAGGATACCATTTATTTATGAACGGACGATTGGAATTAGAACTTTAAGGAGTTGCTGGGTGGTGAAAAGTTGCGGAAGAAGGTGAATAACTAAGAGAAGAGAAAATGCCAAAATTGTTTTAATTGGGAAGAGTAAAAGATGTCATTTATTTCTACAAATTTACAATCTACAAATTTAATAAGAGCGAATAGTGTTAGGTCCTTAACTGGAACAAAAAAAAATGTCAGTACTAATTGTTTCTTAAAATGAATGGTTCATATTATTTTGATTTTAGTATCTTTTAATGATTTTCCTTATTTACCCTCTATTATATTATTTTCTTCCCTTAAATAACCCTAAATTCCGTTAGTTTAAACTTTAGTAACGGAATATTCCGTTAACTATTTATTATTCTTAACATACTCTTAATTTATATAAGGTCTTAGGTTCGAACCCCATCCCAAGTATAGTTGGCATAATTGTTAAACATATATTATGAAATATGAATATTATATTTGTATAAAATACTTGATAAATAAATAAATATGTTATTTATTTATTTATCAAGTATTTTATACAAATATAATAAATATTAATATTTTGTTCAATACTTTCACATGATTACCTACGACACACATCTCACAACACATGAAACATGTAGGGAAAAAAAACTACCACTACTAAATATCAATAGGTGTTTGTACGTTAAAGAGTTCATATTACAACTAAAATCTCAGTCATATACACAACAAGGCAAATCTAAACTTCCTACACCCTAATCTCATTGCATGATGAATCCCTCTATGCTTCTACCAGTAATCTAATTGCACATGACACACTACCAATAAAAAAAATAAAAATAAATAAATAAATAAATAAATAAAGAGGACATGTACTGAACTCTATGTTCATAATTACTGAACTTCATATTCATAATTATTGAACTCTATATTCACAATTACAGAACTCTATGTTCATAATTACTGAACTATATGTTCATAATTATAAAGGTATATATTCATAATTTTTTAACTTCATATTCACAATTATTGAATCTCTATATTCATAATTACAGAACTATATGTTCATAATTATGTTCACAACTCTATGTTCATAATTATAGAACTATATGTTTATAATTTTTGAACTATATATTCATAATTATGGACAATTTTAGATCAGTGTCCACCTTGCAAGGTGGACACGGTTCCACAACATAATTTGCCCACTTTATTACTTTTATTACTTAAATTAAAAAATAAATTAGTAACTACAACAAAAAAAATACATACGCATTTAATTAATTTAGAATTAGATGTCTCACAACACATGAAACATGTAGGGGAAAACTACTACTACCAAATATCAACATGTGTTTGTAAGATAAATAGTTCATAGCACAACTAAGATCTCAGTCATATACACAACAAAACAAATCTAAAACTTCATACTCCATAATCTCATTGCATGATGAATCCTTCTATGATACCACCAATAACCCAATTGCACATGACACACTACCAATATCAAAAAAATAAAAAATAAATAAATAAAGACATGTACTGAAGATGAAAACAATAACAATGCTACCCAAAAGAGAATTAGAAAAATTTAAACCAAAAAGAGTATTTATTTAGACTATCGATTTTAGACTTAGTACTTAGATTAGCGTTATTACAAAGTTGCAAACATTTATTTTTGTGACAGTTATATATAATCAACCTCTCATATATTATCTTGCATTTATATACTTTAAATTACCGATTTAAATAAACAAATTCAACATTTATTTACTTATGCATGAACATCTTCTATATAATATTTCATTAATATACTTTGAAATACTTATTTAAAAATAAGTATTGGGCATTATCCTATTCGCGCAAAGCGCATAAAAAAACTAGTAAAATAATAAGAATAAAGATGGGATAAAAGTTAGGAAGCTCCTTATTTTTGAAATGCCTAAGGTAGTTTTTCAAAATAAGCTTTTATTTTAAGTTATTAGCTTATTTTGAAAACATTATCAAACAGAACTTATAGTTTAATTATAACTTAAAATAAATTATAAGCTCCTAAATAAACCCTGTCGACTCATACAATTTCAGACAATAATACATTGTATATTGTATCAAGGTATCATGGAGTTGTATTAAACATGGACATAAAGTTTTTACTTCTTGCCAGAGTTTATCAATCTGTGGATGTGAACGAATTTCAAGTTTATGAAAAAATTCACTTTTTGTTTTGTTGGTACAACATAATAAGTGACCAAGTTAAATTAGAAAAAGGCATGGTCAAAGTCACTTTGATACACTTTTTTTCTCAACAAAAGCCAGGCCAATTCCATTTGGTGGAACATCATTGCACATCCCATGATTCAAATAACACATTTCTTTGTTTCATCTAATCTGCACAACTATTAATTTCATGATAAATATGTCGTATCATGCAACTCCAACTTAAATGAAGGAGGTTATTAATTGTTTGAGTAATATGGGTAATGAAGGTCCGTCACCATATTTTAAATGATAACTTTTTTTTAAAAAAAATGATAAAATCATTAATCTTTTTTTTTTTAAGTGACAGATACAATTATATGTATACAATAGTTGTTTTTCATATGAGAATACGGTATAATATCCTAAAGCACCATAAAACTTATAAAAATTTGAACAATGGTTCATATCTTGTGTGTTTGTGTAATATGATTAGAGACCTTTCAACATTTAGTTATATATCGCATTAGACTTCGATCAAACATTTTAGACTTGCTAAACTATTGTCAAATTCTAAATGAAAAGAGGGATTGTTCTGTTGGAGTATCAAAATCGAATTTGTAATCAAAATCAAATACTCAATAATCAGAATGGGTTTTAGCACAATAGACATTTTGTTTGGTAATGGACGTGAATTGAAGCTAGAATCAATACATATATTATTCGTGCGTGTGTGACTTGAAAAATGAGAGTAAAATTTTGTAAAAAAAAAAAATTCTTCCTCATTAGAGATTTTTTTTATGCTACTGACTCTATTACATTGTAGTATATGTTCAAACATACTTTCTCAACTTAAAGTTCGATCTCATGACCTCCCATATAGAAAAAGTCACTACATGCCATATGAGTACAAAGTGCTTGCCATATTAAAGACTTTTAATATCTTGTAATTCCATTATACTTCAATAAGA